AATTATGTATCAGTTATTCAGATCAGCTTTCTCTGCCTTTGGGTAGTTATGTATCCAAGTAAGAACTTTCAACTGGGAGAAAAGTCCTTCTCAATGATCACATGCTAGTTTAGTTCACCCAAGATACAGGTCTGTTGTTGAGGGATTTGGAGCATGGCACCACAGCTCGCTCACATGTTACCACTGCTTCTCCAGCTAAAACACATGAGATCGCATTGACAGAACAGATTTCCCTCTTTGAATGCTTGAAATCCATATGCAAAACAGTGTTCAAAGAAAACTGAATAGCTTTCAAATGTCTTGCTTTGAGGCATTTACATCATCTGATTTAGAATCTGTCTGAAGTGCCCCAGAATAGTTACTGTCCCTTGTATATTTATGTCCTTCTGCCTTAGGGCTTAATATTCCTTTCTCTGAACCCAGTGGCCAACTTTACTTTTATAGACCCTTAATATTTATGGAAGAAAGTTAAATCTCCTATGTTTTGAAAGTTTTGATTCTATTGCTTTTCAGCTTGGTCGTGAGGAACACTGCCTAGGATCCACTGGGAGCCTGTGGCACCTTGTTGAAATTTTGAAGATATTTCTGGATACACGAGCTTTAAAATGCACTGACATACAGAAGGCTTTCAAAAAAGAGCAGGAAGATTGCTCAGAGAATGCATAGTAGAGGGAAGGCTGGAGGCATAGATGCTGCCAAAATCTTGGGACAGCCTTGTCCTGGGGATTTCTGAGCTGTGTTCAGAGATTCAAGCACACCTGAACTCTGAGCAAGCCTGCAGGCCAGTCCAAATTCTTGTCTTAGCCAAGAAGCAGAAAATTGGACCTGAGGGAGTAACACAAGCTCATAAAGTAGAACTTGGTTGACTGTACAAGCACCTTACACAATAACAGCTCCTTAAGCCCATCTAGTTCTTCTGCCTGTTCTGTATCTTGAAGTTAGTTGTAGATGCCCTAAAATGCATTACTCAATACAGTGAGCTAGATGAAGTGATACACAAAGTAAGCCAGAAGTAGGGGTGTCCCAAATCCAGAAGCTCCAAGGCTTCCTGTGATTAAGAAATCATTTCCACTTAGCTGCTATTTGTTACTTGTCACCAAATTCCAACTACATTAGGGGAAAAAAGCATTGATAATAATTTTAATTCCTACTATTTCCACTTAGTGCCAAAATTGTTTGGCTGTTAAAACTTAACAGCTAAAGACAGACTAAAAAAATGAAGAGGTTGTCTATGAGTGGCTGGTTGACCCCAGCTGGACACCAGATGCCCCAAAGCTCCTCTATCACTGCCCTCCTCAGCTGGACAGGGAAGAGAAAATATAACTAGAGGTGTCAAAAACATGCCTGCATAGGAGAGAAGATTAAAAGGGTTCAGACAGCCCAGCACTTTATCCCTTGTGATTAGATAGTGCCCAAATATCTAAGCCACAATTTCACATGTTGCAGGGGAGGAGGAGCAGCAGAATCAGATAAAAAGTTTTAAAGACTTTACATTACCTGACCAGCCGTACCAGCCTTGCCATGCTGGCTGGAGAAATCCAGTTTTTAAAAGACCCTGAAGTGCAAGAAGCCACACCAGGTCAGTACAGGATTGCACCTTCTAAGGGAAAACGACAATAAAATTAAACACTGAAAGTTTTCACTGAAAACCCTAAATCAGAGCAGATTAGTTTCAGCTCTTGAAAATTTGACATTTACATTGATAAGCTCTTTTTTAATTGGAACATGTTTTGAGAGAAACATTTGGCCAAATCTAAAATGATTTTCCATTCCAGCTGCTTTACTGACTGCCTTACTAAACAGTGACTTTTTCCAAGTTATTTCTTTCTATGAGAAACTCCTTCAGTTTCATGGGAGGTGGCCTCTTTGAAGGAAAGATCTTTGATTCTCCAGATCTTCAGAGGCAAGGGAAAACAGTGTGTCATAACTGACACCAGAGGTCAATTATTTTCTGTGATAAAGAGGGAACATGCAAACATCACTAAAGGCCAAGACAGATATCCACTTTTGAGCATTGCCTTCTAGAAATCATTTCAGTAGACATCATGTACACATCATTTAAGAAGGGAAAGAGATCCTCTGGAGGGAAGGAGCCACCTGCCTTGTTTGGTCATTTCATCCTGTAGCACCCTGAGGTGATCTCTACTTGAGAGTAAATCCTCCCTGCTTTGGTCACATTACACATCCATCATATCCTGGCAGCCCTGCCCTCACATCTATACCAAAAGCCATCACAGAAGCAAGCTTTTGTTCCCACCACTCCAGGGATGACAAGCATTTCTTGAATACCTGACATAGAATTGTGCCTCACCTCTGCAGAAATTTCCATCTTCTTCCTGTTTTTAACTGGAACCTTTCACGGTTTGGGAGACGGAATTGCAGGAATAAAGGATTGTTACCTTTGCATTCTCCTGGAGAAGCTGCCTCTAAAGTTACCAATCGTTCTGCTGTCTTCCCTTAGTGCCTAAGTTGCATATGGGTGACACCAGTCCCCAACTACAGGCACATGTGAGATGTTACACAATGTTCTTGGTTGTGTCTGTACTTGTAAACTGAACAGCGTCAGGCCTCGTCCTAACAACTGGAGAATGATCACCTACACTCCTCTTCTTCTTCTAGTGTTACTTAAATTGCAGCAATGCAGTTACCATGGTATTGTGCAAAAGTGATTTGTTGAAACCTGCCTAAAATATCTCCGATAGAGGATATTTATTTGCTGTGGAGATCTGTTTAAAATATTGCCTCATTTTCAGTGCAACAGTGTCACAGTCCCATTGGGCAATCTACAATTTACATCTGGGAAAGGAGAAAAAGTACCTATGTTGAAACTTCCCTTTTGATTCCGTTTACAAGAATATCAGCAGAACCCCAACAGACAAGATAATTAGTTTTCACAACACTGTCACTTGCATAAGATGATTAAATCCTCACAGGTAGGCATGTGGTCTTTTATGACCCATGCTGTATGGCCTCCACTTGTGGCATATTATAAAGGTTAAAAAACAGAAGAAAATGTGTTTACAGAAGAAATGCTGTTAAATGGAAAGGACATATATTCATGTTTGAAATCAGAAAATATATTATTCAGATGCTTTTGAATGCTAAATGTTTTGTGTAATTGTACATAATGTACAATTGTATATATGTATATAATGTATACAATATACATGTATATACAATGTATATGTATATAATGCACATTGCAATTATACTAATGCTGCAGGTAAAATTCTTTTAAAAAAATCTAAAACACACCAGTCCCAGTCAAAGCACCCAGACCTTAGTGAAGGAGAGCTAGCACAGCAGTACACATACATACAGAGCAGAAGTGGATTTTGGGGGGGATTTAAAGCAACACTGCTGCCTATTGCCAGTAACATGTACAGGAGTATGCCCCAGCTCTCTGAGTCCCCTCTGGTGCCACAGCTCTCTGTATCTCCAAGCTCACACAAATCCTTTCTGCTCAAGATATACTCAAACACAGCCAGTCTACGATTACCATTTTAGTGCTCATTCTCAAATCTCTGCTGTAGCTGTACAAATTTGTACCAGAGATCCTGATATTAACAGAAAAAAGTGGAGTGTAGAGAGAGGCACTCCAGAAGAAAGAGCCAGATGTTCAAACGAGATAATGAGTAGGAGAGAGAGAAAGCAGCTTTGGCAGAAACTGCTGTAGGGAAGGGAAGGGTGGTTCCAGGAATTGGGAATATAAATTCTGATTAGGGCTGGGCTGGTATTTCCCACTTCAACTGCCTAGTTTTCTCTTTAATGAGGAAATGGAATTTTTACTTTTGCCCCCACTCAATGAAAAATTAACTGGGAACAAGGACTTGCCTCCATGATTAAGATGACCCACATCTCTATAGGTAAGCATAACCCCACTGAATGAGAGCACTTCAACTTGTACCTGATCTTACTACAAAATTATTGTCCTTCAACTCTAATTAAATACATTTATCAAAGGAAGTGCAGTGATCAATCCTTTTCAAAGAGTAAGATAAAATTTCTCCTTTCTGAACATGCTCAAGGTGGATCTTCTCTTCTTCTATGCTCCACAGTCTAAAACACTAAGCAAAGAACAGAAGATGGAGATCTTGAAAAACAGTCAGCAACAGGCAGACACATTTCTGAATTTACACTAATATGGATGGTTTGGTTGTTGTGGTTTCCATTCACTTGTTCAAAAACTACTTATTTTAGCTCTGCTGATACATGAATGCAAACCAGTCTGTATCAGGGGATACTCACAAGTACTTTGTATGGAAATGCCACTAAGAGGACAAACACAAAGTAACATGTCACTTTATCAATAGAAATTTGCAACTACACCCCATGTGGATCAAGGATCTGGGTCAAATTAAAAAACAAAGGAGAGCCATTAATTTGATCAGAGGGCTGGAACATCTCTTATGAAGCGAGGCTGAGAACTGGGGCTGTTGAGCCTGGAGACAGAAGGGTTGGGGTGACTTTAGATCACCTCCCAATAGCTACAGGAGGCCTTCAACAGAGCTGCAGAGGGACTTCGCACATGGGCATGTACTGAGTGTAGAAATAGGACAAGGGAGAATGGCCTTAAACTGAAAGGGGTGGCTTTAGGTTAGATATTAGGAAGAAAGTCTTTACTGTCAGGGTGGTGAGGCACTGGCACAGGTTGCCCAGAGCATATGCAGACTCCCCATCCCTGGCACTGCTCAGGGCCAGGCAGGATGGGGCTCTGAGCAACTTGTTCTAGTGGAAAGTGTCCCTGTCCATGGCAGGGGGCTTGGAACGAGATCATCTTTAAGGTCCCTTCCACCCCAAATGAAACAATGATTCTATGACCTAGAGATCCCTTAAAATTCAGGAATTCCTTTTCTTCCAGTAGCATAAACTATAAGTGGTGCTAAATCTTATTATTTGCTGCAGGTTTTACTATAAATTGTTCCTTTTGGTGACAGAACTATTTCAAGTTCAACACAAAGAGCCAGTTGTTGAGTAAAATGGGCTTTGAAATACAGAGATAATGATCAAGAGGTAAAATTTATTAATAGATTTATGTGCTTTCATTCAGTTTAAAATCCCCATACTTCTCAAGATCAGACAAAATATATTAGCTATGGACACATGCCAGAAGAAGTACTTAATCTTTAAGAAAGAGATAAAAAGATAAAACTAGTGAGTGATTCAGGGGAAGGATGAGACAAAGGGAAAAAATTACTCCAGTCAATTAATGATACATGTTTCCTCCTTATGCCCTGCAACATTCATAGAGTAATCAGGCTGGAGAGGTCCTCTAGAGTTCATAATACCATTCCTCACCCTCAGAGAAGGTTCCACTACACCTGAAGATACACAGACATCTATACCTGCAGATGTTTAATCCAACATCACAAGATTTTTTGTGGACATTGCACAACCTCCCCAGGCAAGGAGCTGCACTGCTTCACTGTACTCCTGCATCTGCAATACGGTCCTTTCTTCCTGGAATTAAATTATACTCCCCATTTTCAAACCTGGAAACATGAAGAATACAAATTTAAAAGGCTGCTGCAAAACAAGATGGAGTAATCTGAAAACTATTTCATTCTCTCTCACAACTCTCCCTGAAGCCTGACAATCTCAAATCTGCTTTAAACTCCATAAATAAACCCCATGAGAACAAAAATGTGCATGTGCATATACATATACATTTTACACACACTTGCTACATATGAGGGGTAATATTTTAAAATCACGTTTCTTTAGTTCAGATATTAAAAACAAGCAGTGTGGGGTACAGTTTTACAAATTTATTTTCAGCTTTGTTTAAATTGTAGATGCTCCTCATTTCAGACAATATACCAGCCACAGGAACACAGAATGATTCTTGGCTTGGTAACAGAATTTTGTAAAGAACATTAGATAATTAGTTTTGGTTCAATGTTTGTTGAATGAGTAATAGCCTAACTGATATAAATCATATTACCTGTGGAGTAAAAAAGTGGTGAAGTACAGGTGAGACATCAGACCTAGGTCATTCCTTTATCTCACCAGCATTTCGCTACATTTAACCACTATCTGTACATTTATTTACAGTGAGTTTTCAACACTGATTCTCACCACTGAGTTCTCACAGGTATGAAACAATCATACATGAGTTTCCATGAGATTACTCTTTACCTTAAGAGTATGAACCTTAAATGTCACAAAGGATCCCAGCAGCTGCTCAGCTTCTAGGAAATGCAATTCTGGATAAAGACTGATTCCTGCAGTACAGAAAATGAAGTAACAGCAGACTGAAAAATGTTAATGAAACCCAGGCTGACACTTAAAAAATGCCTGCTTTGGTTGCATGATGAAGTTAATTCATTTGCAATGATGTTGCATTCATGCACCAGATTCTGCTGAAACTTCCAAACTTCCCCAGAGAGCTGTTCAAGAACAACTTTAACCGGCAATTTTCCTAATCGATCTCAGCAATCATGTTTCATGCCAGGTGCCTATGTGAACAGTGATGTCGATTGAGAACTGGCCGAATGGCAGATCCCAGGGGGTCATAAGCAGTGGCACAGGGTCTAGTTGGAGGCCTGTCGTTAGTGGTGTCCCCAAGGTTCAATATTGCTTAACTTATTAATGACTTGGATGAAGGGGCAGAAGGTTCCTCAGCAAGTTCCCTGATGACACAAAGCTGGGAGGAGCAGCCAGCACCCCAGAGGGCTGTGCAGCCCTTCAGAAGGAACTCAGTGGGTTTGAGAGTTGTTGTGGTGTGTCGTACGCACCGCTGCAGAGAGTGGGGCAGAGAGGAACAGTTTCAAATGCAACAAAGGCAAATGCAGGGCCCTGTAGCTGGGCAGGAATAATCCTGGTACCAGCACAGGCTGGGGCTGGCCTGCTGGGAAGCAGCTCTGTGGAGAAGCACCTGGGGGACAACGAGCTGTCCATGAGCTGGCAGTGCCCTTGTGGCCAAGCAGGCCAAAGGTGTCCTGGAGTGCATTAGGGAGAGCATTGCCAGCAGGTCAAAGGTGGTGTGTAAAGTGTATCCCAACTTCCTTTGAGGTGAAATAAACAGCATGCTAAGGGCAGTTTACATGTCCCTTCCATCTAATAGTACAAAGCACACTCCTTTAATCATATCAGCTAAAACCTAAATACATGATCAATACTATCACAATACTTACATTATGAATCTAAGTGCATGAAAAGCAAAACACTGACTTAAACCAGTCCATCAGAAGAATCTCAAAACACAAGAAATACACTCATTTTAAGCTGAAAGTTAACCATTTCAAACTCAGTGCATTACCACTCTGCAGATCAACCACATTCAGTTTTTTACTACTCTTGACAGCCCACAAAATCATTGTAAAATACAGATGCCTTCAACCATAAATGCAGCTCTAGATCAATATAATGGGATTTAGACCCACCATCAGAAGGAGCAAAATTGGCCAAATTCCTGCTCTTAAAATGCCGGTTCTGTCCACTCAGTCCCCAACTCTCCCTGTATCAACCACGATGGAGGCCAGTTTCCACTGTTAACCTTTCCACATTCCTACAGCCCTGTGTATGATGTAAGCACACCCAAACTGCACACAGATAGTTTCTAAGAGATAACATAATGCTCCAGGGGGAAGATGCAAAAATAAAAAGCATGAGAAACTTATGGACAATACAGAAATTTGACAGCTTGAGGTAAAAAAATAGGTATTGAGAGACTTATCATTTAGTTGTATGCAAGGGCAGAGGTGATGACTACAATGTAAGTTTTTGAAGATGAAAATATCAGGAGAAAAGTGCCTTTTTAAACTAAAGGCAGCAACATAATCAAAACCATTAATTAAAGCAGGTAAAATTAAGTCAGAGAGGAAAAAAGTTATCCATGTGGCTAACTTTTCTATCATCTAACAACAAAAAAAATCAGGCTATGAGAAACCAAGGCTTTTTACTGAAGTAATCGCAAATATTCTACAAATACAGAAACCTGATCAGATTAATACCTCTCTGGTTTATAAAACAAAATACTTAAGAATCTCTTAAAAAGATTTGAGTCTCTTAAAAAGATTTACAGTTACAGGGAGATTCACTGATTTTAGCTGAACCAAAGTTCAGGTTCTTTTATCTAGCAAAAAGGTAATTTATAAAGGCTTTTAAAAAGCAATAAAAGGTTCCTTTAGGATCAAAGGTAACAACTAATTTATTTGCTAAATAATGACCTACTTAGGTTCAAGGGTTTTTTAAAGTTATTTAACTAAACTCTTTTTTTGAAGCATAGGAGACTACTGGCATGGCCTTAAAGTGCTTGTTATATGAAGATAAACCACTTGATCTATGATGAAACATGGCTGGCTTTCCAAATCAGAAACATCAGGATCAGGTTTTGTACTTACAAATTCTAAGTTAATAGGACTACCCTTCTGAGCTTCCCCTTTGTACAGTGGTGTGGTAAGAGAGGTTTCCTTACAGAATGACTCAGAGGAACCCAAATCAGGCATTCTCAATTGTCCCAACAAACATTTGTACCATTTGCTATTAAGGCAACCCAAGAATATAAAGCCAAAGTCAGTTTTTGAAAAATACAACTGTGTGTCATCCTTCAAGAATCAGAAAAATTTGTTGTGTCCTTGTAAAGATAAGCTTTTAGACAAAACAACTTACCTTTGATCTTTTATCTAAGCAGTCACAAAGATTTCAGAAACTGAAACTCACAGTTCTTAAGTTAAATAAAAGACAGGCAGCCTTGTTGTATACTAAATTCTTATATAGAAAACATCCAGGGTTACACAATAACCAATTGCTGGTGATTTCTGAACAAATACAGCTCACAATGGACCATATTCATATTGTCCTTTGGTCAGTACTTTAACTTTCATAAACTTTTCAGTAATTAACACAAGGTTTAGGAGGTTCTGGCTTTGTGTTCACCAATGAATCAAAATACAAATCCATTGGTACTGTGTCCCAATTTGAAAAAGCCCCTTTTTCAAATGAAAATGAGGTAAAAGGTTTCTTAAAAAAAGCCAACATAAATCAATGAAATAGTCGTCCTCTTCCACGTCTGCTCTTGAGATGACTGGCAGAGCGCCGGAGGGTTTTCCTCTCCTGACGATGTCGTTTCTCAGCTTCCTGCTGTTTCCTTTGCTGCTCTGACTGGAATATTAAAACAAAAATAGACTCAGGTTCCTGTAAATTTATACATCACCTCATTGTCCCAGTATCAATATATCAAGTCAGAATTCCACTAAGCAAATCTGGAAATGCTACAGTTAGTTGCTTTGTGCTATCTTGTGTCAGATTGTAACTGTTAATTCTAGATATCCTTAGGCATTATCATTCCAAGCTTTTCAAAGCAAATGTTTAACATAAAGATATAAAAACACAGTGAATAATGTATTTCAGATAAAAAAACAATGCTTAACAATACAGTCCATAATTTATGTTTAAATACTCTTAAGAACATAAATCCAAATTTGTGGTTACTTAGTATCTACTTTGGTTAACTAGTGTTTTCAAGTTTAATCACAGAATCACAAAATAGAATAAGTTGAGCTGGAAGGGACTCACAAGTATCACTGAATCCAACCCCTGGCCCTACAGGAGCCTCCCTGGCCAGAACAACACTATGTGCCCAAGAGTATAGTCCCAATGCTTCTTGAAATTTGTCAGGCTTAATATTGCACAATTCAATTTTTAAAAGACAGAACAATTAGTTAAATTTGCTGAAGCACACATGTTTCCTAAAACAAGGTCTCAGGAGTTCTTGAAAGTGTTTGATAGACTGTGTGCAATTCTAGAAGGAATTTCTACATAAAAGTAATCTCTGCTCCTGTGGCACATGATCTATTAATGTTTCTTTCCTTAATCAAAAACATGGTGGAAGATATTTTGATGTACCATGTAGATGAAATGGTTCTTAGAGCCACAAACTATTATTTTCTTTGGAAGACTAAAGCTTGTCTTTAAACCGTGCATAAACTGTAACTAGCAGACTTGAACTAGCCAAGCTCAGGAAACTGCCCATGTCAAAAAGTACTCCAGCAATTAGAGCAATTTCAAGCAGCCCAGGATAACTGCACTGAGAGTGTGACAGAATTACCACTGTGGATGCAGCTGCATCCCCACTGCACCTCTTTCTGTAACCAACAGCATTCACATCAGCTCATCTCCCCCAGTCTCCCATGCACACACCATTTAAACTGAGCTAGAGGTTTGCTAGCACAGACAGCATTTTGGCTAAGCTGAGTTACAAATCAGTGTACCAAATATAGCAATCAGCCCATACTGGTATCAAGGCAGAAAAAGCTACTGGTTTTAGACTTTGATGAAATTTATGAACTTCCATTTTCACTGCAAGTACAGCAACAAGAAACCCCCTATTTGAAAATACAGGTAGTTTCTCCCTGTCTCCAGACCTCTTCTGAAAGAGTCTTGATGAATCTTACTTAAGCTCATGTTGACAGCTACTCATAGTATACTGAAACTGAATGACCTTGATCTGCATCAGAAATTTTAACGTTTGGGGCTTTTAAAGGTCTTCCATACTGTCCCAGCAGTGTAAGTACTTTGGTATTTTAGAAATCACACAATTTTGTTAGATCTATTTGCTATTGAAATCGAAAAATAAGCTGCCACATTGTAGGAGCCATATTCCAATTCCCTGAAAACTAAACTGTGAAATATCAATGACAAATAGTTTCATCACCAGATGTGTCACTGGTAGCTGGGCATCAGGGGGCTGCCAACATACCACACCAGCAGGAGCCAAGTTCAGCCTCAGTTCCACTGACTTATGAGTTGAAGTGACACCAACCCCATGGAAGGACAATTCTCTCCCCTACTAAATCTTTCCACCTACTCCTAAATACACCTGCCCTTTGAGGAAAGGGCATCACAAAGCAGAAGCTGACATTTCAAGTGACATTAAAATCCCTTTTATGCCTTGTTAATTCTAACTCTTCATCCTCTGAAAAGGAGTGCCAAGACTGCATAGGGTGACTTCCTCCTAGTTCTCCCTGGCTCATTCCTTAGGACTTCAGAAGATATACACAAAGTCTGTTTATTTAAGAGAAGACTTGTTAAGTCTTACTTTGTTATTTTTTTTGATAGGAGGAAATATCTTCACTGCAGATGCACTATTTTTCTTTAAATTAGATTTTTAAAAATCATTTTAATGCAGATGACGACTTTGTACATATTTCAATAAAGTAATATCAGTAAAAAGTCAGGAAAAGAAAATCCATACATGTCAGAAGCACTATAATTGAAAAAAACCCTCAAAGCTGTATCTTATCTGATAGAATCAAGTAAATTTGGCATTCTGAACCACTGCAGTGTCTGTCTTCTTCCTGCAAGGTCTGTCTACTTTGCTCTCAAATCTCTGTCAGGAAAAGGTGACAGTTCAGCGTGCACCACCAACTGCAATAAACCTTGTGGCTTTCCACTTTGTAAATTCAAGCTACTGTAAAAAAGACCTTCTTTGAAGCCCTGCAAACCCCATTTAATGAGCTACAAGACACCAGCAGTTACAGAGTTGATAAAATTGCCAGAAAGATTACCCTACAAGGCCCTGCAGAGGAATTTGCAATTTATAACAGAGTCACCACATTTTAAATTCCAGCAATATAGGAATCAAAAATAGATGAAAAAGGACATCTGCCAACAGATAATAATCAATAAACTAAGTAAGGTAGAAACAGTCAATAATTCTGGGGTGGTTTTTTTTCCCCTTTCAGGCATATCCAACATGACAATTAAATAACTACTTAGCCATTTTTGTGTTAGCCATTTCTGTTTTACCACTGAGGACAGTATTTGACCAGTGGTAAGGAGAAATGTGTTATAGCAAAGATGTTTACTTGAGGAAAACTAATTTTAACCAAAGGAAATTTTGTCAGGTCAAGTATCAATTCATATGGGTTTTCAGCTTTTAAATTGGATCCTCTCTTAGTTCTTAAGCAATTTTCCAGTACAAAAATCCCTAAGTGTACTGCAGCAGTAGCACATGCACAGAGGCATTTATTTAACTGTCTCCACACTATAAATCACCTGTATGCAATCTACAAAATTCTTTAGAATGGAAAATCAAAACGCTTGGGCAAGGTAAATAGGCAGCAGTCAACCATACACTCCATATGGAATTTGACAACCAGTATAGGACCAGAGCTCATTCCTGTGACCCTGTGTTACATAAGGTCAATAATGAAGGTCGTTTGGAGCTCTGCTTCCATCATGCTGAGACCCCTCAACACGCTGAACCAAGAGAAAGCCTAAATTGCAGCACCCCAAGTTGTATTTGGATCTGCAGACTGAGATCTGATCGGTGCTGGCCCTGAAGTCAGGCAAGGCCACAAACTTCTGGTGGTACCTCTGCAAATAAACTATTAAAAGATGCAAGCCATTATTTTCCACCAGAACATAAGATTTTATGAGTGTTGCCTGAGTTATACAGGATAAACACAGAGTCCTACCGGAGGCTTTCATTTTCTTGGCAAGAACCTGAAGAGTTGGCAGCTTATAAAGAAATGAAGAGGGACATTTGCTTGACGGTTTTAAGTTCCTGTTCTTTCATGCAAAAACTTAAGTTACTTGTGTATTATCTTAAAAATTACACACACACACACACACATATATATATGTACACATATAGCTCACCTTCTTTAATTTGAATGTTGCCTGTTTGCTGCCTACTGTGGTATCAGACACATTGAGTGTGCCAAGTTTTTCTTCAAGCTTTAAACGATCTTCAAGAGTTTTCCTGCAGAGAAAAACTAACATTAGTCCCTATTTTTGCCATCTTTTTATTTATCTTTTAAATAAAAGTTGATAATGCAGTCAAAACTAATCTCAATTTCTCTGAAACCTTGAAACGTCATAACTAAAAAAAAAAACATTCAGGAAACAGAAAAAAAAAAAAATTCAAATCATTCCCTCCAGACACTGCTTTCAATAGAAACACTTTCAAAATCTATGTAAAGTTCATTGTTTTTGCTGCTAAAAATTAATATGATTCTAGTTGAGAAAGACACCACACCCTTCTATTGCTATAGTTTTCTCTGAAATATCCAATAAAGTTGGTGATATTAAACTGCACAAATAAAAAAAGTAATACTAGATATATTCAGTTTTCTTGAAATCTTATAATTTCTGAATTAGAAACACTTTTGAGGGAAGGAAGTAATCTTGACTATACACCCGAACCAATTAATCTCCAAACAAATCATTTCACTATTTAATCCAAGCACGAATGCCTGTTTGGACACTGTGCCCAAAACAGTCTAAGTTGTCTGCTGAATAAAAGAACAATATAATAAGAGAATGTGATGAAGACAGACCCTGGGCCCAGACAGGAGCTCCACAGAAGCACATGCCTTCAAGCCCAGTTTATCACTGAATTTCTGTAAGGAAACTGGTGTAGAGCCTCTCCCTCAGGCACCAAACTCCAGCATTTCTGCGGACAAGGGGGTAGGTGCTGTGGACAAAAGTGACAATTTTCAGCTCTCCTCCACTGAAGTTAATGCTCTGCAAAAGCAAGCCACATGGATGTGCCCCAGTGGCTCCAGGTTGTGAGCTGGTATTTAGTATCATGGTGGCCAACTTCAGTTAAGGCGGGCTGTAACTGGAACAGCTGAGGAGTAGAAAAACACCTTGTTCCCACACAGCCTCCAGCTCAGGGGGAAGCAGGCAGACAGGGACAGTGCTGCCTTCAGCCAGCCTCCCTAAGGCACCTGGGAGTCCTAACATGGCTCATCCTTCTCATGTAATGTAGGTCCTATGAGTTGAGTGGCACCCTCTGAGAATATGACATGGCTTCTACGATCACACTCTCTGCATGTGCTTAGAAAACATTCCCCTTACTGTACACAAAATTAGTTTCTGCAATTTGAGATTCTATTAGTGCCTCATTAGCTCTCTCTGAAGAGGTCCAAGAGATCTTTTCTGTATGATTTTTAAAGCAGAAAATAAATCATCATAAAAATAGAGATCATATATAAAAAAGAGAAGCCACCAAAGTCAATGGCATTTACTGTGTATGAAGAACTCATGGCTGTGGCCTATGCATGAAGTCTCTGAAGTCCACTGAATTTTGGTTAATGAGCCATTTTATGTAACAAAGACTTTTCAGATTAACAATGAAAAATTACTGTCAAGAACTACTTTATTTCTCATGACTAGGTACTTTGTATTTTTTTCTGTAGTATATTTTTCATTGAGTACATGTAAAAACTTGTTCCATCTGTGCGAATCGGAAAGACAAGCTAAGCCTTAGAGCTAACTGTGGCAGAAGATCAGTCACCAACATTGTGGTGGGATTTCTACATTCAAGTGAAGCCCCATTTTCTCCCCTTTGAAAGTGAACTGGAGAAATATGGCTACTACCCAGCAATTATTGAGCATGACTGCCTAGACATTGCTTCAGTCAGGAGAAAAATTAAAATGAGTAGATACTAGCAACATGCTGTGGGGCTGTAATCTTACTGAAAAAAACCATAGGTATGGCTCTTTTTATCTGAAAATGTGCAGACCTCAAATGATAGTGAATTGTACATACTGATATACAAACAACAGATGGGTTCTTTGTTTTGGTTGGGTGTTTTTTTTACATCTTCCTGAACAAATTAATTCAAGGGATACATTCACAGCATTATGGGAAGCGAATTCCCCTGCCCTAATGTAAAAACCAAACAAAAAATTACCCATGCAATTTTTTTTTTCCTCATTATAAGAGGACAGTTTTTCAGGACATCTCCTGCTGTAAAACAGGAATATCTCTTTACCAGTACTAAGGAATATCAACTATGCTTTTGTTGGCTTTCTTGGCCACCTCTGAAGACACATACATTAACTGTCATACTTTTTATAAAATGTGACTACTATAGTTTTTGATTTTGACATTTTTTAACTTCAGTAACATCCTCTTTAAAGGGACATCAAGTATATCAAAAAACTTTTAGCACACAGATAAAAATCCTTTCCTTTTATGGTTTCCTTTCAAAATACTAGGTAGGAAACTTATGTTGTAGGGAAAGAAAGCAAGGATTTGAAGCTTTTTTGTGCAAGCCTAAGAGTACAAAAGGGGTAAATTAAACATAGAAGGATTTGAAACAAGGGGTTTTATAGAACCATGAGTAAATTTTGCAGCTTTCCTGGACAGAAAAATGTAGACTGTTGGTCTAGAAAGAAATTTATAGTACGCATCACTGCTTTAAAAGTTGGGCTTGGAGCCGTGCTGAGTCAGGAATATGTCAAAAGAAACACCCAGTTTTATATAAGTCATAAACTGTTTCCTCAGGTAGAACATTATATGATTAGAGAGAAAAAGAACATCTAGCCATTAAATGCATAGTGAAGGTATTAAGGTACTTAATTATATTGGTCACAGACCATCATCCTGTAACTTGGATATATCAAATCAAAGACAAACATGCCAGCCTCACCAGATTGTACATGCCACTACAGTCTTTCCAGTTTTCAGTATCCTACTTCAATTAATTACTTTATGCTGACTATTTATCACTGAATAAGGCCAGCACAAAACATATTTATTTTCTCCATAAAATTCTAATACGTAAAAACACTTACTAACCAAACAAGTTAGCTCAACACAGGCTAAATCATTATGACTACAAAATGGTAACAGATATGTATTATATGAAACAGATATCAGCTGTTGATTTTTAAATTTCTTCTAAGAATTTGATGAACACCAAACTCCACACTGTGAACAATGCTTGGATGAACACAAAGGGGATCAGTGAGTATACAGCTAATTGTTTAGATAACGATAAAAAAACCCCATATAAGTCAATCCAATGACAGCAATTCAGAAAACAAAGGAAGTGATGCTACCACATTAATTTTTTTGGTCATCCTGGTCTGTACTCAAATTCCTCTCCTTTTTTTTTTTTTTTCCCCCACATTTTACATTACAGTCTATTTGTGCATCTACCAGAGAGGATATCTATTAGCAGCAAATCTTAAGACATTCCCCTTTCTTTACAAGCAGCCTGTTAAAAGTCTTTTGATGGTTTATGTCATCACAGATATTTCTTCCACTATAGGACAGGTCTGTGGTATATGCTTTTGCTTTTCCTGGGGTGAAGAAATTATTTTTCTCCCTTAAACCCATATAAAATGTTTCTCTTCCTTACAACTATCTTGGCTTATTTACTTGAATTTCAACACCATTTTTCACATTTAAGCCTTCTGTATTTTGAACAAAATGAATTCTTTATGCTTCAAACTGACAGTCCTTAGAGTTTTCTTTGGGGCTCAGCAGCTGAATTTGTGCAAAAGAGCAGTATATGAGTAGTCTGCAGCCATACAGTTTTTTAATGAAATATTTCACTTGCACTGAGAATACAGTGCCATTTGACCAGTGTTTCAGGCTCCTTCCAAGTTACAGCTAATACGACTATAAACCTAATCACAATGTAAAAAATTATTTTTGACCTATAATACTTTGTCAGAGTATCCGGAGTAATTTTCTCCTGACAAAGAAGAAAAACTGAGAAAATTAAAAAGTTGCTTCATCATCTGGAACAAAGGTAAAAAGAAAAATAATCAGGAGACAGTTAATGGAAACATCTAAGGAAATTAAAAGTTCAGAGTAAGTGGACATATTCAATAAAAAGAAGAAAGAAAAATCCCTGTGTGAAATTACTTGCTGATAAAAACAGCTAAGGAAAATATGGCAATCAGTTTTGCTGAACTGCTATAAATCCCTATTTATAAAATATCACTATTTCTACTTAAAAGAAGTCTTACAGGTACAATATGGAAATCATAGACCATCTGACTACCATAGGAACACTCTCTTGCTAATACTTAAAAATCCACTTTACATGATCATTCTAATTAAAAGGCTGAATTTTTATCAAGTGTTTCTTTATGTGTCTCCCAAAAATTCCCACCATAAAACAACCAGATTGTAGTCATTAGTGACATAAAGAAACAGCCCCATTGTATTATTCACTTTCTTTCCTTTGACTGTGCAATTTCATTCTAAATAAAACAGAAATGTTTATTATGAGATCCATCTAGCCCAACAACCCATTTCCAACATCAGTCAAAATTCTGTTCTGCACCAGCTGTGCTGCAAGAACTTTGAAGCTACTGTCTTGAAAGGTTTAATGAGTGTCTGTGCTCCAAACAATAAAATTCTATTAAATCTCATCTTCTGAAGGGCTCAACTCACCTCTGAAAAAAACTAAATCAATGAGATTTGCAGCCACTGAGTACCTCAAAGCCAAGTCCTTTAATTAATGTGCTCTTTCTTTCTTTAGTTTGAAATGCTTATCCATGTACCCATTATTTCAGATGATCACCAATTTAAGGAAATGAAAGAACCAAACCAAACTACACTTAACAAACACCCTCCTAGCCTGGTATTTTGTATTGCAAAATGAAAAACAGAAATAATAAGTCCTGACATTATAAGGACAGTGTAGATTTTGAAAATTTCTAGATGCCATAAAAATACCCAAACAAAACAATTTTTCTTTTACCATGTTGACCCATCTTGATCCTACTCCCAAAACAGTGACTACTCATGTAGCATTCTAAACCCTTTTGGACAGTCAGATTAAAAACATCCAGTCTGTTAACCTCACAGTGACACTGGTGGAGAAATATAACCAGTCTCACAAGACATCACTGTTACCTGTGGGAACAGCACTGCACTAACACTGAGTAATGGATCCCCCAGTCTGACTCAGGAGTATCTTACTAATTTCATTTGCATTGTGTCTCTGTCCTACTTTAAATAGTGTATTTGTTTATCTATAAAACAAAGCATACAATGACTATGACACCTTAAGTTATACCCTTGGATCACCAAATGTAGCTTTACTAGCAAGTGCTTCCATGCCACAACACTGCAGGCCTGCACTGTAGGGAAATACTTGAGAATCATCCACCCCCATCTATTAAAATAGGAACATTAGTCTTACTTCATTAATTTTTGTTTTTTGGCAGAGTCTTTGAAGCTTCTGAATTCCTCTCCTTCTTTAATCTCAAAAAACTGAGGTTTTAGTAATGTTTGCTGATCCTCCTTGAGCCTTTCCTGCCGCTTTAGTTTTTCCTCTTGGCGTAAAAGCTTGCGCTGTTTCCTGACCTCTTCAACCCAGCCTTTTTCATCATCTGAACTCTCAGAACTTTCTGCATCACTTGCTTTTCCTTCTGGTTCTTCCTCCTCTTCCTGCAGACAAAAATAGTATAAAATAAGAAGTCATCAACTAATTTTCTTTCCAAATCATTCCTGCATTTGGAGTATGTGACAGCTTTTACACAGATACAGCTGAAGACAACTACAACTTTTGAACAAAGCAGTAACAGCAAATAAGCTGAAAATATATCACAAAGTTGTTACCATCTACATATTTTATGTTTTTCAAACCTGTGTTTGTGCAAAAACAGTATTACATCTAAAAACTAGATTAAATTTATAAATGACACTTAATTATTGTAGCTGATAAGACATTCTTGCATTGCCTTCAACTTTCTGGGGTGAAAAGTCTGAAAGCCTGAAACAGAGGAAAAGAAAACTCCATAGGCTTTCTTAATCCAAATGGGAAAATATTTTACCTGTCCTTGTGCTTCCAGTTCTTCTAAGATCCTTAGCTTCCTCTTTCTTTTCTCACTTATTTTAGAAACAAGTGGGTTAAGTAGCCTAAATTCTTCACTCTGCTCATCCACCTGGAAATCTGGATTCTCAAACATGACCTTAAAACGATCATCTTTGAGAAGGCTGGGCAGATTCTGGAACAGGAGCAAAGCATGAGCAAGTTACACAATTCTGAAACAGACATTAACAAAATACGTAACACTTTTTCTTAATTAAACAAAGTTAATAACCAGCATATGAAATGCCAGTTGCTTTATCCTTCCAGGTCAAATAAAAATCAAGATTTATGCTTATTGTACTTTAACAAAGATTGTTTTAAGCTACCTGTAAGCAAGAGCTTTTTTAATACACAGTACAGACACTTTAAATACACAATTACTAATATTTTCAGATAAATGTTTCTCATACATTCAGCCAGCTAGTCTGGAGACATGTTGATATCTACTGACTAATCAGCAGTACCTGCAGGGCAAATATACTGCCTGATGGGGATGAGTCTACAACATGTAAAACAAATTATAAGGGTACGTATCTTTATGTAATGCTACTATTATTTTAGTGTAAATACTTAAGAGGAAATGTTGTTATACATATTATAACACTTTTTCTTCACTACTTTCACACACAGAATGTAAAAGGCAGTTTAAATCATGTCAAAGTAAAATGAACTCAGTGTAAATTATGCTGCTGGTGAATTCAGAACAGTTCAAGCTACTAATTCATCTTAGGAGAAGACCAGTTACTGTTATTTTAAAATCACTGCACACATAGCTTTTTAATAGAAAATGTTAATTTTTTAACATTGCTTAACTTATACCAGCATATTAATCCCACCACTGCACTAGGTTTTCATTGTTATTGAAGAAAAGGAGGGTGGAACTAAGGATACAGAAAACAAGAATAAATTTCAAACACAAAACCAGTGCAAATGTGTAACTTTCAGCCACAACAAAAATTAAATCCCAAAGCCTGAAATAAATTGCTTGTCATAGGACTCTAATACTTTTTGAGAAAAATAATCCCTATGTACATTTTTATATACACTCTATTTAGTCCACTTAATAACACAATCTCTAGGTACTTCAGTCCCCATCTACTGAACTCTCATTTAAGTTTCATCATCACCTATCTTTTTAGTAGTTCCTCCATCCTTCCTCTAACCTCAACACATAAGATTTCATTATTTATCACATGCAGGCTAGTGTCTGCCTATCATGAATGCTATATTCCTGTAAGAATGAGCACCTATGAATGCTACCTATAAAAAGCCCACCCTCTCACTAGATACTAAACATTTACCCATTTCTTCAATTAAAAACTTCTCATAGCAGAGTAGTAGATTACTTTTAACATCCAGAAGAACTCCTGCTGCATAAAAGCAAACCATTTTGGCTATTCTATAAAACATATTTAACTGTATACACAAAAAATGCAATTGTATCTTAAATTTTATAGATAACATCTATCCTGTCATGGTCACCACCAAAATACCAAAAACATATGCAAAGAACAGGTCTTGTATGAACAGTTGTGGTATTGAGGCTGCATTAACCAGTTTTTGGAGTTCTGTGAAACCCATATTACCTTCACAATGAGTATTTAATCATTTTTAGCATCAAGTTACTATATGGTTTTTTTTGAGCTGCAGCTACAGTCAAATACACTTAAAGCCACCTACCAGAATAAGTTATTTATAAGAAACAGAACCAATGGTATTTTGAATCTCTTTGGCCAAACAGCAACAATTAAAAAAAAGAATCCTGTAAGCATTGCTAGTTCTGTGCTCCCAGCTAGAGAATTCACCAAAACAAGAGCTCACCTTTTGTTTTCTTTTTTTACTGAACTGTTGCTCTTCTCCTTCTTCTTCAATCAGTTTGAGTGCAAGTTCTTTATTAACTTTTGGGAGTTTCTAAAAAGAGGAAAGCAATTAATAAATTAGCCTTTTACACATGCAACCTACATGCTTTACTTACAACTGTTTCAGAAAAGCTCCTTGCTGTTCCAAATATCTCTAAGTACTAGTAAAGTAACTGCCCTTAGAGAAGATTAAAGAACTGGTATATTATTTTTAACTTCTAATGCATCACCTTTAGAACTTTAAAAGCAACTCTTTCTCCTTTTATGTTGAACAGATCCAATCTAGAAAGTTACTAGTTATAAACACAATACAATTTTCATGTATCGCTTTCCAGAGTATCATGTTTCAATGGCTCAAGTAATTTAATGACAGAAGCAGAAAATGCAAAGTTTTACCAGTGGATTATTTGTTGAAGTGGCAAATGAGATGAGATCTGCTCTTTTAGTTTTGTATCAGCCTTTCAAAATCCCACACATGGGAATTTTATGTTTCCATTCAAGAAGTTCTATAAATTACTTTGTGTGTGCAATGATAAACAGATTCAACTCCTAAGTCACTACATCTCTAAGATACACTTGAGAATACATTACTTTTTATGAATAGCTTTCCCCAAAGTATACCATTTATTTCTAGGATTTACCTTCAATTGAACTCTCTGTGCACGAGTTTCTTCTATCTTCTGCCTTATTTTCTCTCTTCTATATTCTTCATAGGCAAAGGGGTTGGCCATCATTTTTGCCTTTGAACAAACAAGAGGAAGTAAAAAGAAAGTACCATTAATACAGGGCACAGTCCATTATCTGGATGGAAAAAAAATCTAGCCAAAACAAAAAACCAAAAAAGGATGAAGAAAACCCACAGCACATATATTTTACTGTTAAGAATAAAAATTGACAAGATTCAGCCATAGTTACCTTATGATAAAGTCTTATGTCCATGAAGAAGCCATGCATATATGCTCTGAGCAATGATGATCCAATGAGATGAGCAAGACCTAGGAAAAAAGTTCCAGAGAATTTCAAAGAACTTTCACACATAAAGAACTTCTATTCCAAGACAGCCACTTCACTTCCTTAAGACAAACAAACACTGCCTACGCAAAATATCAATCTAAGTCACAGTCATGACATCAAGACTAATTAAAAGTGGGAATAAGAATTGTTTTGGCCAGCAAAAAAATTTAAGCTTCTTCAGAGCAACCAGATCCACTTTTCTTGTCATGATACACATTACTGAGCACTTGTTAAAAATTTCCACATGCACTATACTCTATAAAACTTCACAAAGAATTCCTGAGGATGATTTTTGGGAAGTCCATAGATGTTTGAAAATCCCTTTTTTAGTGTGATATATTTTTCAATTAAAGAGTTTTGCCCTGTGTCAAACACTCAGAGTCAGAGGTAAATTAAGTAAACTGGAGCAAAACATTGCAATCAAACCATGTAACGGACAGAAAAAGGACTAACTGCCTCAAGACAAGGTTGCTTACCTTCTCTGCTATATAATTTTCAGAATTTCAATTTCTTCAAACTATTAGCCCTAGAATGATTTATATATTCTGAAAATTACTACATTCAAATAGGGTAGCCTTTGGCTGCAAGTTCCAAATTCTATTTCAGCACCTCAAAAATATTTTGACAACTAAACCAACTTTTCTTCCTATGCCTTCCATGTGGCATATGAAAGCACAACAGATTCCCAGATGCATTATACCAGCAAATATCAATCACCTTCTTGAGATAAAAATCTGAGAAACACAAGTGTTCTTGTGTTATACTGGTTGGGAATCAAAGAACTTAGAGCCATCAGTCTGGAATATTCATAACCAATAAAACAAGAGAAAACTACTGTCAGTGAATTTCTAGCAGCCCTCATACACCACACTGAAATTACAAAAATCAGATGTGTAAATGTTCAAAAACTCAACAAAGAAGTCAGCCAAAGAGTGTATACAACTGTTTTACCTAAATTTTCAAGGTCTTTTCTGGTAACAAATTTGTAATCATCATAAACAGTGCTTTCTGGATTCTCTTCCAGTTCTTCAGTCAAGTTGTCCAAGAAGGAACACCATTTTGGGGCAGGTCCTAAAACCTGTGGATATTATGGAAAGTTTTAACATTGCATTTTCTTACAGAAAGAATGTAAGAAGGCTCTTGGCTACTATGCTACAAACAAATTAATCCCACAGCACTTAGAGAACACAAACCTATTGCTTGCATTACCAACAAAGAGTACTATAGATTATATAAGTGTTATTTTAATTTAGATCATTTGAGACCAGCCAGTCTGGAGGTTTCAAGTTTAACTGTTTCAAGTGGTCCCAGTCTGATTAATTCTTTAAAAGCTTAGAGCCAAATATTATAGAAGAAATTACAAACTAATGGCAGTAGATAGCAACTAATTTGTAAATTGCTGCTGGATCATGAACTTGTTGGGTTCACTATGCAATCATGTTAAATTCTAGTCTATCCTGTTTATCTTAATTGTAACACCACAGATGTATTTAATGTATTTTATTCAGGGATAAACCCAGACTGTATGAACAGATAATAGAAAATATTAAGAATACTTGCATATTTCCATGATGAGGCAAAAGATTTGTTTGCACAGTGTTAGGTAGCACTATCAATGTATTTTTCCATATATGTTTCCTCCAATTCCCCAAGTTAAAAATCAGCTCCCTTTACTTTTCCCTCCTGCTGTTCTGATTGAGATTCCTTTCCATCTTGACTCATGCAGCCACACTCAGTTGTTCCAGTAGTCTTATTTTAGTAGGTGAGTTAGCTGCATGGAAAAATCTAAAACTGCATTTCTCTCTCTAGTGTAAATCAGCTGACATTTTAGAATGTTAAGTCACCAGCTAAATCCCACAGTGGGACTTTTAACGAGGCTTCTGATTTGTTTGCTAAAAATTCATGTTAAAAACTCCAGTCAATCATACAAATGCTTGTGACACAACAGCATTTTAAGATCCTATTCAATTAGGGAAACAACTAGAAGTGATTTTATTTATTTAACATATACATAGTTTGTTTTAACTAGATTGCTGATTAACTGTATGAGCTAATGCTGTTCATTTAAAAAGTGTGTTTCTTCTAATTCAAAAGTCTTATTCTGAAGACAACTACACTCAAAAAACCCTGTAAAATTGTGCTCTAGACCATAACATTTTATCTATCATATTCTTGCCTGTAACACTCTAGAGAATAATATTTTATTCTGGCCCACTACTGTCCCTGTATTAAATACAATTTATCTTCCTAAGATCTCAGCCCTAGCTGAAACCATTACGTGCCAAATGAAAAGTGCACTTTTTTTACCATGCTGCATATTTCATCCCAATTACCAAGCACTTCCAAGGAAATACCCAAGATGTCACTAACAAGAAACATTTTACTTACTTAATTGACCAAAATCCCCATGTCTGCTCCAGGAATAAATGACATATATAACATTCAGACTGACTTCTTGCCAACATTCCAGAAGCTTTTGTCTCCATCTTGTCTCCATCCAGATTTTAATTTTTGTTTTATTTGCCCCCAACCCACTTATTTAAATAAGCTTTTATATTAAGCTTATATATTAAAAAACTTTTATATTAAAAAGAAAGCAATCTAGATCTATTAAATGTCTTCATGCCACTTAAGAAGTCAGTTATCTGTGCCTCATTACCAGACCATCAAAGCATGACTACAATTTTGTTTTAGATGAAGCAGTTTGTCCTTCTTACTAAAAAAACTCCCAAGCTGCTTGCTAACTAAACAAAACTTCTCTTGTAATAAAATTTAAGGACAACATTCTCTCCTATATGCAAAGCCTGATACTTAGAGTAAAACCTTTCATGGGGCATAATCTGTGCCATGAAAGACATGAAGCAAAATCCTGATTATTCACAATCATCTGTGGATTGAACTGGATGATCAGATCATAGAAAACAAAGTGGGGGAAATGAGATAATTAATGGAAAAAAGTGGTGGCAGAATACCAGGAAAAAATAGAAAGTCCAACCATAATTAAAATTTGGCATGTTAACTGACAGAAAGGAAAACCCTACAGAGATGTCTGTGTATGTTTATTACCTTATTTCCCCTTCTCCCATCCTGCTGAAACCACTTGCCTACCTATTCTAGGACACCTTAGGAGCTCTGCTTCAGGCATTAAAATGAAATATTTTTTAAAGCTTGGGAAGAAATTCAAAAATAGAAAAACAAACAGTTTCAGCCACAATGACAAGAACATAAATAAGAAAATTTTGTCCTTCTTTTGCAATAGCAATTCTTCACATAATTTAACTGCTACTGCATTTTTAACTGCAGAATTTAATGGTCCACTGTCAAACAACAGCTGTCCCATGATGATGCTAAAAGCACTCCAGAATGCCAGGCTTCAGGGCTCCACCATTCCTGCGCCCAGATAGAAAAGCAACAATTGACAGGGTTGGTTTGCACTGGGCCTCCAGGGACAAGGTGGGAGAAGTGAAACTGGCCTGTCTTCCCCAGTTCATGACTTTCCATACAGTGGCCACATTGCAACACAAGTGGGATCGCTTGGAGCTGCGGTCATCCAGCACTGGCACCACCTCAGCCTGGCCTGCAGTCCCTGCTAAAGCCACCAGAACAAAACAAAGCTGTGGAGTTTGTGTAGGTCAAGTAATATACTGGCAATTTGGAGTGAAAAGGTACAAATTTACCACACCTCACAGAGAAAAATGCACTGAAATTCACAGCACAAATAAGAAAATGTTATGAGGTAGGTAATTGCATGCAACTTAAGTGACAGATATAATTTTTACAATATTCATGATATGCCAAACAGGTTTCTCTGCAAGTTTTAGAAAAGTTGCACTCAGTCAGTGGGAAAATAATTATTAAATGAATGCACATCTATGCTTGGCTTTTATCCAAATACTTTTTAGCACAGGAAAACCAGGAGTGAGCACCAACAGTGATCAAATTAATATTTTTTCCTGTTTTCATTACTATGCTGCTTTCTGTAGGATAACCACTTCTAGACACAATTTCTGCCAATTGCTACTGAAAGTCAGTAAGATTGCTTTGAAAATGTTTTTGCCCATCAAGAGAGGAGCCTCACCCACCAGAAGGGCCCAGCTGGCAGCGAGTGAGGGGATGCTCTGCTCCCCTCCCAGCACCTTCCTCCTTCACTGGAAACAGCACCCAGGAGGTACCAAAGCACAGCTGTCCCTCAGTGTCCCACCACCACACTGCAAGGCACAGTGACAGATGGGTCACACCAGTGCCTCCTCCCCACAGCAAAACTTACCACTACCATGGTAATGCAGACACCTCACCACTGCCTTTCATCTTATTCCAATCCACAGGAAGTAAAAATGTGGACTTAATAATTATTAGTATTGTGCCACCTAATATCAAATTTTTCTTACACACATTAGAATATTTGTCTACTTTACACATAGAAAACACAAAATATGAGGAGTCGTCTAGCATGCAACTGAGCAGAGACAAGTCCGAGACCAAACTGTCAAAGAAATGGAAGAGAAAAATGTTCACAGAAAAATATTTTTTAAATATTGTAAAAAAAATTCAAAAATCACAGTTCTTTGTATTCTATTCTACAAGATGTTAGGCTTTGTAATCTTGTGGCACCACAAGTCTTACATGGTCCAGAATGTTCTTCTGGCAATGCCTAATTCCTGAGCACTTCTGTAGAAATATCACCCTGTCATTGGCCTGCAATTCCCCTAAATTTAACAAAGCCTAGAACAGCACAGGTATTATGCCCAGCCCACAACAGATGTTCCTTATCTTCATTTGAAAGACCAGACAGCACTTGTACACTTTTAAACACCACTCAACAGTTTGACAGCCAGCTCTGTAGAGCTCTTACAGCCACAAAAACCTGCCCTAATCCTACCTAGTACTAAACATGTTCAACTACTTAAAAGAAGTCCAGGATGTGTAGAAGCTTCCATAGTCAGATATCAAGAGATTTAAATTAAACTACTATGAATGCACATCCAGACAAGTTTTGTTAAGTATCTGTTTGAAGGTTTCTAAGACCAATTCTACAGGAGTGACTGAACAGTTGCTCTATTCTTCTCAGGGAGTAAAAACAGGTTCCAATCTGTTTTTCTGGATGTTAAACAGCAAGTTCCTGGAAGATTTCAAACAAGGCAGTGATAAACTCTTCAGCAATAAACAAGATGTCAAATATAGTAAGACCAACCCTCCCAATCTTCACTGGTTTATTTTAGCAATCTGAAATACGCAAAATGCTCCCAGACAGCATTTATCGGATTTGAAAATGACTCAGTAGAATCTGGAAAGTTTAGACTGTCCAAATTTTCTCTAGAAGACTAACTTAATGTATGTGGACAGCATTTAACCACACAGTTCCAGAGGCTTTGGAAAGCAGAGGCATTATTTGCTGTGGCTGCATGAGATTCAGAAAAATTTCAGTTTCACAAAAATGAACTCTGTAAGGCTGTATCATGCCACACCATAGTGATAGAGCTAGTAACAAAAAAGCATGAAAACACATCCTATCACTGTTCTTTTGTATTTTAGAAGTAAAAGCTTCTATCAAAAATCTATGTGTTGTGGTACCTTCCACACATTTTGACTAAGACCATTACTAAATAGCAAAAATGTACTAACTAAATAATTCACTGCCATATTATTTGAATAATGGTGATTACAACAAAAATAGCACATATTTAAGGTCTTCAACAGATCTCTAGGTACAGTATATTGTGAAAAATTATTAATGGGTTGGTGGAGACATTTTGAACAAGTCCAGTACATGTGAATGCAAACTGTAGCAAGGACTGTGAAAAGCAGCAAGGAGGATTTCTGAAACAGTAATGCTTGCAAAGGAATAAATACATCACAGAGACACTATAAACTAGAGCTGAGTTAAGCATCAGAAGAGTGTGACTCTTAACAGCTTTTTAAGTGGCAATAATGGGGAAAAACAAACAACAAATTTCAGATGAAGTCTGAAATACTGAAGAAAAACATTATATAATCTGAGTGCTTGTAATAAGATGGGACTTGACTTCAGAATCCAAGGTGGCTCATCCATTCCTCCATTCCCAATTAAAAACAAAACCA